TTCCCTTCCCTCTTCCTGTGGAATTCCTTTCGGTTTTGAACATCCAAACTTTATGGAGCATAGGTATTCGTCAATATCTTTTTAGCTGATGTTTACTTAGGAATAATGGTATTTGCATACCCAAACCTCAATTCAACATTTCAACACAATCACACACAGAAAAGCCTGAACTTCCCTTCTAAATACAAACGGCAGGATGGCAGATTCACGTGTCGCCATTTAGAAAAGCACACCCCATCCCCACAGGGTCACGGGAATACACACTCTGGCAGCCAAGGCTGCTGGCTCTCATCCGTGTCATCGCTATCGTTTGAAGTGTCATTGGCATTCAGCGAAGTGTACCCTTTTAAAAAGTACACAGTTCTGCAAATTTTGACGGTCACATAACTGCCACTGTAATCAAGATGTGGAATACTTTCCCCGCCCCAAAATTCTCCTGTGCCCGTCTGTGGCCAATGCCTCTCTCCAACCCTGGTCCCTGGCAACCTCTGACGTGTTTTCTGTTCCCTTAGTCCTACCTTTTCTGGGTGGCACATAAATAAAATCATACCAGAGGTAGCCTTTGGGGCCTGGCTTCTTTCCCTTACTAGACGCATGGCGATTCCTTGGTGTTGCTGTCCCTGTCACACTTGGCCTTTCGGTGGCTGATGACATTCCAGTCCGTTTGCCCCTTCCCCAGCTGGGGAGCATTCGAGTTGTTCCCGGATTTTGATTCTTATGAACAGACCACTATAAATACTGACTCACAGGTTTTTGTGTGAGCATAAAGTTTCGTTCATTGGGGTAACTGTCTAGGAGACGGATGGCAGGGTCCCGTAATTACTGTATGTGTAGCTTTTTGAGAGACTGCCAAACTCTTCTCAACTGCTGTGCGTTTTCATTCCCACCGTCAAGGAATGAGAGTTTCTGTTGCTCCACACCCTCACCAGCTCTTGGAATTGTCAGCGTCCTTCTTTCTCATGTTAGCTATTTGTTTGTTTGTTTGGAGATAAATTTTTGCTAAAGGGTGTGTGTGTTTGCCAGAGAGACAGACAGAGAGACAGAAAGCAAGAAATTTCTCCCTACGGGGGTGGCCATGCCGCAATGCTCTCTCCATTCTCCTCTCGGGATTTTGGGAACACACGTACAAGCACCCGGTGTGAGTTTCAAGATGCCAGGTCCGGGCCTGAAACCATGGTCAGCCATGTGAGAGTCCAGCAACATAACCATCACGCATCTGCCAGTCCTGAAATGTGAGCCTTCTGCATCGTGTAGTTTCTTTAATCACTAATGATAATGAATCCTTATTTGTTCATTTGGCATTCATGAGTCTATTTGATCAAGTCTCTGTTTAAACATTTTGCCCATTTTTGTTAGGTTATTTATTTTCTAATTTTAGTTTTAAAAGTTCTATATATGAAGAGACTAGAAAGAGTCCATGGAAAAATGAAATCGAATTATGAATTTATCTTGGTCCAAAAGAAAAAAAAAAAAAACTGGGGGCCAGCCGGTGGTGTGGTGGTTAAGGCAGCTGGATCCCACATGGCAGCTGCCCAGTTTTAGTTCCAAACGCAGAGGCTTGAAAAGCACTGGATGTGT